AAAGGAGAAAGTGGTACTATTGAATTTGGACAAACCGGAAAAGGTTTTGTATTTATGTTGCGAAGAGAACCTAAACCTAATCTAACCTAACCTTCCTTGGCCTAATACATGCTATACTAGGAATATTTAAGTTTGCTTTTTAGCTTTATTTTTTTTTTACTCTGTAAAGTGAATAGTACCTAATTCTACCTGCCTTTTATGTCAATATATGTATGATGGTCCACATAGCTACAAAAACTACTATATAAACAAGAGGATGGGTTAGATAACTTCATCTGAATGACCCAATAGCTCCAGCTCATCCATTCAATAACTCCCACCAAGTAACTCTTACCCACCTTTTCAATAACTCTTGAAAATTTCTGTCCACCCTCCTGATAACTCCTGCCAACCTGCCCAATAACTCCTGCCTACCTGATAACACCTACCTTCTCAATTCCTCTCACACAGTCCTATAGCGATCCCTTCCTAAATCCTGCCTGATCCCTTCTGATAATCCCTTCCTCCTGTCGCCTCCCTATCTGATGACACCTGCCTGGCCATGTGATCTCTCTTACCCACCTTCCAGATCCCTCCTGATGTCTCTCACTCTCATCCACGCACCCGATCCTTCACTCCTGCCTGCCCGATTCCCCACTCCTATCTGTCCACCCAAACTCACTCTCTCTCCTGCTTGCTTGATTCCTTACTCCTACTCGGCCACCTACTCAGTCCCTCTCTCCAGTCAAATTCCTATTGTACAGATGTACAGTATTTACAGGCAGTATTTATCTATTTTGTGCCCTACTTGCAAAAAAAAAAAAGTTTTGAGTGTAATGAAATGGGAATTTCTGTGAGTGCCCCAGTGGCTCCCTGAAGCATTATGCTGAGATGGTTACCATCTACATCAGCTGTAGCATTCTAGAGGCTTGCTAGGGACCAGAGCCAGAACCCAGCCCTTCACAGAGGTGCTGGGAGAGATAATATATTTCACACAGAAATCACAATAGTGTGATACATCAAATAAACAAATCCACATGGGCCGTGATGAGGGTTCAAACCTACGTCCGAGAGGATTCCAGACGCACCTTAACACTTTGGTGCTCACTGTGTTCTGAAAAAAAAACTTACCCCATGTGATATCGGCGTTTCGCGTGCCTAAGCGGTAAGACTGAAAAGTGTATACTCTTTTGACTGTCCTGACACTAATTGTAGGCGTACGTATTTAAATTTGGTATCACTGTGTTCGCAATAGAATTGTCTATAAGAACATACCTATAAAATGCCGCCAAAGCATAAGGCATATCAACACCAAATAAAAACCTATTCAGATCACTTGCTGAGAGCGCCAAACAGCAACAAAATGTTCCCACTCTCTTAATGGTTGTGAAGCCCACAGTTGTGCTACAGCGTTAATTTTGGTATCACTGAAATCGCAATAAAATTCTCTACACGGACATATGCATATAAATATAGATTCAATGTCGTAGTCCACTCAAAACAGTGTGGAAAGTGGCCAAAGTGTTACCCGCGGCGGCATATCGGTGAAACTTGCTTTGAAAAGTGTATATTCAATTCACTGTCCTGACATTATTTTTCGATGTATTTCATTTTTGTTCCAATGTGTTCGCAATAGAATGTTCTATAAGAACATAAGTATTAAAGGTCACGTAAGGATGCGTTCGTCCGGCAACATATATAAAAACTACGTCGATTATACTCGTGGTGTCAATAATACAATTGTTTTACCACGATGATTCACTGCCACGCCATTCTCTTTAATATGCTGTTCAGCTATTAGAGAAAACGTAAATTTCATGGCAAACATTTGTAAACTATCCCCAAGTTGTTCGGATAATAAATGGATTTTATACAAATATTTTTTCTCGCAACTCTATGAGTAGTCACTGTCGCGTAACCATAAGAAAAATTGTTGACGACCGGGATCGCGACTGAAGCAGCAAAGTGTTAATCGACTGAGCTACGACATGGATACTAATTGCAACCGGGAAATCAACTTGACCTACCACGGATCCTGCAGGCTTTCCGGGACATGGCGATTAAGGCGCGTCTGGGATCCTCTCGGACATAGGTTCGAACCCTCGTCACGGCCCTTGTGGATTTGTTCATTTGATCCATCACGCTATTGTGATTTCTGTGTGTAATGATGTAAGGGCGAAGAGGTAGAACAGCTTGTTGACAGAGCTTGAGTGCATGGGGGAATTGCGTAAAAACCTGGTTGTGTCTCGGAGAGACAGCAGGATCCGTGGTAGGTCAAGTTGATTTCCTGGTTGCAATTCTTATCCATGTCGTAGTTCAGTCAATTAAGTCGCGTCTGGGATCCTCTTGGACATAGGTTCGAACCCTCATCACGGCCCTTGTGGATTTGTTCAGGTAATATATGTTTTCCACCACACCAGAGAAAACAAGCAGAAGTTCATCAAGTCGAAACAAGCTACTGCTGGATTCAAAAGAGACTGAAGCCTCGATAATCAGGTGAAAGAACTTACCACTATGTAAACAAATGATCAAAATCTCTTGGTAATATTGTGAGCTTGTTTGCCCCACCTCCCCTACTTGTTTGAGGGGGGGCTGGAGTCCCAGACCAAAGGAGACACTGAAAATGAGAAAAGGTAAGAAAAGTCAGTACACGGTCCAATGGCCAGGCTGGCTCAGGCAGCGCATGAGCAAGCCAAAGGTGAAACAAGGCATGAGACAGTCTGCCAATTGGCACCTAGGTAGTATTGACACCTAATGCAAGCTGGAACGTCTCCACCAGCACTACATGATATGAAGCGACAGTATTTGCCATAAGAAGCTGATATAGAAAACAACAAAGGGCTTCCCCAAGAGAAAGCTCAATTTCTGAATGTCCAGATTTTCAGCAAATTCAGATCAAGCCTTGAGTGATATAATCTGGATTTGTGAGGTTATATATGCATGTATATATATATATACACCTATATACTGTACATTGGCTTTGATTTTGTTAGTTACTCATAGATGAAGTTTAAATTAGTGAGCATCCAGTGTATTTACACTCACTATTGCACAGACATTATTGTAAATTATGTTATAAATTGTGTGGAGTGTTTGTTACATTATTGTAGATGGTTACCTTGAGGTTACCTTGAGGTGCTTCCGGGGCTTAGCGTCCCCGCGGCCCGGTCGTCGACCAGGCCTCCTGGTTGCTGGACTGATCAACCAGGCTGTTGGACGCAGCTGCTCGCAGCCTGACGTATGAGTCACAGCCTGGTTGATCAGGTATCCTTTGGAGGTGCTTATCCAGTTCTCTCTTGAACACTGTGAGGGGATTGCCAGTTATACCCCTTATGTGTAGCGGAAGCGTGTTGAACAGTCTCGGGCCTCGGATGTTGATAGAGTTCTCTCTCAGAGTACCTGTTGCACCTCCGCTTTTCAACGGGGGTATTCTGCACATACTGCCATGTCTTCTGGTCTCATGTGATGTTATTTCTGTGTGCAGGTTTGGGATATAAAGAATGAGGGGTGAGCAGACCAGGGGTGGGTGTTGCTAGGGGGAATACTTGCCTAGTTATACTTCTGGTGTTTATCTTTGCCTCTCTGGTCTGCCTCTCGACTTTCATTTGACCAGTGTCAAGGTTCTGGGACTGTGTACTCTTTTGTCGTGTATGTGCTTGAAGTGAGTGTGAAGTCGGCCGCCACCTCTTCACCTTTTAACCGATTCCATTTAAAGTATTCACTAATCTGACACTTAAAATATCTTTCCATTATCATTTAAAATATCTTTCCAGTATCTTTCTGCTCATTTGGGTAATTAGTTTGCACCTTTGTCACATATTATAGTAAGTAGCTTTCACAGAGTTTCAGACTTTGCTCTAATTGTGTCCAGCCCAATAAGGTGCCTCCTTACTTCATCTCTGGTAATCTCTTAAGTCTTCCATCACTGGTTGAATTGACGTTATCCCTCAGCTCAGCCCTTTCCCTGCTCTCTTATTGTGATATCACAGAATCTGCTATTAAGTTTTTATAAAAACATAAGAAGAGAAAAGATTGCAGAAAGCCTACTGGCAAATGCAAGGCAGCTGCCATTTATACCCAAGCACACCCACTATAACATAGCCCTATCTTGTGCTTGAAAATATCCAGTGACCTCACAACTATTACATTTCCTCTTCTGAGAGTCAAGGTGAATTAAATGTTTTTAAAATGTTCCATCGGAGAATACAATTTATATGATTTAAATGTGGGGAATACTATTGACTTCCTTAATGGCACTGTTAAAGATTAAAAATTAAAAAAAATTTGTATGCAGTTAATATGTGTAAAATATATTTTATATATCTGCAGAAAGTTCACAGCAGACTCTGATTTTAGACAGGATGCAGAAGTATCTGCAACTCTTAATATTTTTTTACTAGCGGTCTCATAAAGTGTTCTGGCTGCTTGTTGTCCACTTCATGAGATAGTCAGTTAAGTTGTGAATGATGACTGAAGCAGTTCCAGACCTTTATTTCCATTATTCCACTATTTTCTGAACTTTATACTCAAATGAGCAACCAATTCTGTCCAACATAGTGCCTGAATATGTATTTAAATTTGTAGGAAGAACAAATACCATGCAAATATAATCTAATTCACCTTCCAGTGTTGTAACTGCAGTATAATGAGGTAAACCATCTTAAGAAATAATGTTCACAGAGTTAATATGCTTCACTTTCACATATTACATTTGTTCTTTTGTTATGGTTTGATAATAAATCACAATATGGCTATTTACTAACCAAGTCTGCTAGTTACTCAATTCAAATTTGAATAATTGTCCAAGCACCAATCTGCTAGTTACTCGAGCAACATTTGACTAGGTATCCAGGCAGTAATCTGAAAGGTATTCAGGCAAAATTTTATTATTTATTCAGGCAATATAATTAAATTCAAGAGAAACATAATGCAATAATAAAGTTCTGGGTTGAAAATAGTATACATTATTTATGATATTGGGGTTACTATTAGTCAACAAATATTCTCTTGTTATTGGTCAGATGTTGATGAATGTGCAGACAAGAACAAATGCAAGAATGGACATTGTTTCAACACTATTGGCAGTTTTGAGTGCCAGTGTCCAGAGGGCTACATGCTGCTGCCTAACCGTGCCGAATGTATAGACATGAGAGAAGAGACTTGCTTTATGAATTATGAAGATGGAATCTGCAGTGTTCCGATGAGAGCTGACATCACGAAAATGAAATGTTGCTGCTCGATGGGTGCTGCCTGGGGTTTCAGCTGTGAGCCATGTCCAGAGAGGAATACATGTAAATAATTTGTATATTTTGTTTTTGTCTTCTGATTTAAGTATTAATATTTATGTTGAAATGTTTGTTTTTTCTATTTAGAAAAAAACATTGATCTAATTATTACTCATTAGAATATTATAAATACTTTCAGAATGTTTAAAAAAAGTCAGCGTTGAATGTAATGAAACACCATTTTCTGGGCGAGACCCGGAGGCTCCCCGGAGCTTACTAGGCTGATATGCTAATGTCAAACTTTGGCATCAGTCATGTGTATGGAGTTCTGTGGGCCTACCAGGAACCACGAGCCAGAACCTGGCCCCCTCAGAGAGGCATGGGGGCCGCAATGGCCTATAGAAACCCCCGTGTGGTTGGAAGCATTCTATATCTGCCATCGACTGGGTCAGGCACCCAGAAAGGTAAGCATTCCAAAACAAACCCCTATTCTGGTGAAAATATTGATACCAAAAGCCGAACAGGTGAATAGAACTCCCCTAAAATAAACAAGCAAACGAGCATAATGTCACACGTCACCGAGCTGCTGTCTGCACAGCTCCCCCCTCCCTGGGAGGGGGAAAGGGGAGCCCCAGACCCCCTACCCTACATCCACCTGTCAGTTCTGAAGCTGGATGTCAAAAATATGCGAAAGTAACGCCGACCGAAGGGAGGGAGGGTGGGATGTTGGGGAGCCTCCGGGTCTCACCCAGAAAATGGCATTTCGTTACATTCAACTCTGGTTTTCTTGGGGGAGCCCCTTCGGCTCCCCGGAGCTAACTACCCACAGAGAAAAAACATAGGGACAAACATTACCCAGGAGACGGTCGCTGCTCACTCCTCAACTCGAAGTCGAGACAACTGGCTGCAGCCGCCGACCCAAATCGACACAGGCCCAACTAGGCCCAGGAACATTCACTAGGTAACGAGCAACCAGGACCCTGTTCGACTGCAAAAAGCCCAGTGCCCGAATGTCAGCCCAGGACCTGTTGCCAAAGATGGCAACAACAGCAGCGAACTTACAAACGTCATGGGCACAGGGATAGACCGCAGGCTGGCTAGATTTAACAACTCTGAGGACGACCTGGGAGACCCGCACCCACGAACAGGGAAGAAGGAAAACCAAATCAACCCAAAGCATGTCCCCGGGCACAGAAGCTGTGGCGCGCATAAAGCGGCGAAGAGCTGCAACCGGACACAAAACATTATGCTCCCCCAGCCTGACCAACCAAGCATTAACAACCCAGGGACCCTTCCGGAAAGCAGCAGTCTCATTCTTTGCCAGAAAAAAATGAGACGGTTGCAAATGAACAAAACATCACGAAGACTGAAGGAGCAGAAACCCCTGCGCCGGAGGAGAGCATGACGCTCCCCAATCCGACCCCCAGAGGCCAATGCCAACAGTAAAAGAGCCTTGGAGAAACAATCCTGAACCGAAGGGACCACAACAAACCGAGGAGAAGAAAGAAAAGAGAGCACTCTGTCCAAAGACCAGGACTGCTCAGGCGGTGCATGAGTAGGCCGGAGGTGAAGCAAGGCACGAGACAGCTTGTGAAACGGCGCAGAAGTAACATCAATACTGAAAGCAAGCTGAAGCAGCTCTGCCAGCGCTGCACGATACGAGGCGACAGTGTTAGGCATAAGATAACGGTCCTGGAACAACCAAGAGAGAAAGGACAACACCACCCTAACAGAAAGCGAAGGACAACGACGAAGACACAAGAAAAAACGGAAGGACCGCCAGGAAACTTCATACTGCCACCGAGACGAAGCCCGCAGGTGTTATACTAACAAGGAAGCCACGTGCGCACCTTAGAGATGATGATAAACTCGAGTCAAAAATTCCATACGTGAAGGCTTGAAGAGAAGATTGAACCAACCACGTGACGTTCTGGTCCGATCTGCTGAAAGAGGTGGAGCCGCGGGAAAACCTCCTCGTTTGGACACTGAGCAAGCAGCAAATGAATACACGGCTGGGCCAGCCACCACTGGGCCAAGAGAACAACTCTCCCCTGGTAAGTCTCCAAGCGAGTCAGGATCTAGAGTAACAGCTGAACCGGTGGAAAGAGGTACAGGAACCCCCACCTTGACCAGTCTTGCCGAAAGGCATCGACCCCAACAGCCTCACATGTCGGGGAAGGGCGCCATATACAGGGAAAAGCGCCGTGACCACTCCGATGCGAAGAGGTCCACCTCGAGGCGACCAAACGTCTGGAAAAGCCAAATGAAGGAGTCGATGTCGACTGTCCATTTCTTGGAGAGGGGAACGAAAGGAGACAGGTCTTCCTTTGAAGAGCAAACCACACCGCCGCGAACTCCCGCACCGTGCTGTGGGCTCGACAGAAGGACGGACTTTACTGTCCCTGGCCGGCCTGGTGAGCACTGGTCACAGAGCCGCAGCCGAGAGACAACACATCCATGAATATATCGAGCGAGGGCTCTGAAAACACCAAGGGTCTGAATCTCGAAAAACCCAAAGAGGAAGCCGGCGATGCAGCAGCCGACGCATGGTCCCCGGGGTCCAAACCCAGTGATCGCGAGAGAGGCGGAAGGGACGTCCCCGAAGAGACCAGAGCAGCCGACGAAGCTAAATCCTACCTGGCGGGTAGATCATCGTCGCAAAGTTCAGGCTTCCGCACAGATGGCTGAGAGGTCAGCTGGTGTCATGGGAGGGGGAAGACCTATCGTGCGCGTTCCGTTAAAATCGTGATATTTACCGGGATTTCTTAGGACTGCAGCTATGAATTACTGATTACAGACATCACAAAGTGCATAGTGACCCGTTGGAAAGTTGAATACAGTTATTAACAATGGAACTCTGTGTTTAATAGAGAATAAATGGGTGACCACGTGGAAGCAGTGCCATGAGGCTGTGTAATTGCTTGTAGGTGATATAAGGAAAAAAAAATAGTGAACAGTGATTCATGGAACAGTGAAGTGGAACGGGTATCACAACACACATTTAAGTTGGAAGTGTAGGAGAATCGTGCATAGAATATTACAAATATAGAATATTACAAATATAGAATAGTGGCAAGAGACGGCATCAGCTAGGCTGTGTTTACAAACGCCACGAGGCCTACCCCAGTGTTTGGCAAGTCCCTCAGTGATAATATACTGACAATATATAGTGTAATAAGGAAATGGGGATCTAGGAATTAGTAATAGAGTGAGTGAATATCATTGCAAGCCGGAAATTAGGCAGAAAATTCCTTGTAATAATACAAGCAAATAATAAATCAGTGTTATAAATCGAGTAACTGGAAACTGGTGGCATCATCCTGGGACAACAAGGGGTCAACTGTACCACATTGGGGACCATCTTCACTACCCTACGCTAAGTACCTGCCATAAAGCTTGAACAAAATAACATACATAATATTACAAATATACGGTATACATATAATATTATAAATATATACATATAATATTATAAATATATACATATAATATTATAAATATATACATATAATATTATAAATATATACATATAATATTATAAATAGTAAAATTACTGAAATCAACTAGTGATCCATACAGTGAAGCACAAATACAATACAATACATCAGACAATGGAGATGTGTAGCGAGTGTTCGGAAGTATTGGGAAGATGTACTGTAGGCGTGAAGTGTTTCATCTGTACCATAAGATTTCACCTGGGCTGTGCAGAATTATCTTCAGGATGCACAAACAGGCAAGGAATTTACTGGGTTTGCAAAGATGACAGGTTAATATGGGAGGACATAACTAAACTGATGAAAAACATTCCCGAGTCACAGAGATTATCATTCACAGAAAAACTACCAGTGATATATGCGGACTGGGAAAAGAAAACACTGGATAACGACCAAAACTCAGGAACAGGTAGTTTAGAGAACCACAGCAGTAGTGTGGAGGAAGAGGGTATTGTGGCACAAAACAACAACAATATTGCTGAGCCAGGTAATATAAACAATAAGAGAAACAGTGAGACAGAGTGCATAAATGAAGGAATTGGGATGAAAGACAGAGATGGCTCCAATAAAGAGGTAGACAAGACAGGCACAGGTATAAATACCCTGAAAAACTTAAAAACTGAAAATATTTGCAAATTCTACACTTAAGGAATATGCATCTATTGAAAAAAAGGAGCAAAATGCAATTTTCTGTATCCTTGAAAATGCAGGAACATGTTGGCGAGGGGTACATGCCGTTTTGGAACAGGGTGTAGATACTTATATCCTAAATTATGTCAATTTTCAATTAGGGACAAAAAATGCTACAATCTTCAGTGTCCGGAATTTCACATGAGAGGTACACAGCGTTATAGATGGGAAGATCAATGTGACACTACTGGAAATTTTTTAGAGGAAGGCAGAAACAGAGTAGAAAATATAAGAGAGAGGAACAGTCAGATGGAACCACTACAAGATTACAGAGGGGAAAGGGGAATACCCACAAGACTGGAATACAAATTATCAAGAAACACACAGGTACTACACCACACAGTTGAATTGAAACAGACACTACACACACACATTGAAACACACACTACATTGAAACAGTTGATAAACTCGATTTAAGGATAGGCAACTATGGGGAACTTCGAAATGTTTTTAATGAGTGTAATTGGACAGAATTGTTGCTAGGCAGGGAAGTAAATGAAATGTATGCCAAATTTTTAAAAATATACGAGGAAGGCACACAAACATTCATACCAAAACAGAGATGCAGGGCCAGAAAACAGGATTGGTTCGACAGAAATTGTGAGAGGGCAAGAGACCAAAAGACACAAAAATGGAATCAGTATAGGAAGAGGTCAAACCCCCAAACATACCAGCGATACAAAGATGCGAGAAACAACTATACAGTAGTAAGGAGAGAGGCAGAAAGAAATTTTGAAAAAGGGATAGCGGATAAATGTAAAACAGAACCGGGCCTATTCTACAAATTCATAAACAACAAATTGCAGGTAAAGGATAATATCCAGAGGTTGAAAATGGGAAACAGATTCACGGAAAATGAAAAGGAAATGTGTGAAACATTAA